TAAATCAATAATGAACGACTTAAATGGTTTTCATACTGACTAAGAATATTTTTTGTCGTTTTTGAAATCACAATTTAATTCAGATAATTGGAACAAATGACAAAAATATTTACAAAGGCGAACAATATTTCCAGAAGTGGCAAAACTTTAAACTATGAATTATTTATTGATATACAATATGGTGACATATAATTACAGCCATATTAACTTATCTTTGATTGATAGCCTTCATAAATGTGTTTCTCTCCTTATGAACTTAAAACATAAAATCATAGTTCTAAATATGATCATTTTAAATCTCCATGTATCTAATATATATATAATAGATAGAGAATTACAAAACATGTGATGTAACAAAATATTGCGATGAAACGCTACCGCTTGTAAATTGGTCGCATCAAATTCATTTTCAAAGCGAACTAAATCAACCGGCCCGACACTTGTTATCTACAGATTTCGGCTCCAGCAATATTCTAGACTACCCCATGCGGTGTTACATAGGGTAGTGTTATATACTTTATTGGTAAACTTTTGCTGTCGCTGTGTAAGAACGTATTAAATGAACTCGAACTAGTATGTGAAAGAGTTGATATTGAACAATCGACCCAAATCGAACAATGGGACAATGTAAAGTCCTTTGTTCAAGAACAAATGGTTGACCCGAATTAACTATTAATGACAATAAAGTACGATCACGCATATTTAATGTCACTTAGCCTAATGTGATTTGAATTAAATATTTTATTTACGCGTTCACTATTTTAGAAGGCTACTACTATCAATACTGACAACTCAAATCCATGGGAAGGTCTGAGTTATGGGGGACTTTAATGAATACATAGCAAAGTTTCAATTAGTATTTTTAAGCAACTCAACGTGAATAAATTCACGGATTTTATGATCCATGGACCTATACGATGTTTCAGTGATTGAAAGCACAAATATTATGAATATGCAAAATCTTCTAACACTGAAAATTTTTACAATATTTTGTATTAATCTTCATTACTATTTTTTTTTACTTTTGTTTCTACTTATATAAATGAATAGATAACTAAACTAAATTTGTCCTTAAATTTTAATTATTTACCTAGAGCGTACAGCTATTCTTTAGTTTCGATTGAAATCTAAATTTCTTTTTATTTTTTATTTTTTTTTTCGAATTTTCATCCAAAAGAACGCACGTTTGAATCCTGGGAGCGCCGCTCGTTTAAATATTCATAGTAAAATTTTGTTTGCGCGTCAGTTTCCTCTAAATAAGTTTCTCATTACTTTGAGTCGAGCACTGCCAAAAGTCCAAAACGAAAAAGTATAAAGATGTGAGCATTTTAATGCGAATAAAAAAGTCGCTTAGTTCAGTTCGAACCTAGCAGCTCTGATAAATTTTCAAACAGTTTATTTGTTAAACTCACGGGCGAATCTCTCGTTGTATAAATTTTTTAATATTCGTTTTTAAATATCCAGCTTTAAAAATGTTTACCCAAGATTGTCGCAATCGTTGTACGCCGCTGCCAAGACCCGAAACTGTCCATTTTTAGTTTAAGTGCAGAGACAAGCATTAACTTAAAAATTAATTATGTACTCCTGTTAAATTCCTTGCAATACATTTACATTACCCATGTCCACAATAAAACAAACATCGATCTTGCCTGCGTTTTCATGCCGAACACATTTTTAAAGGTTAATATTCGATTGCGAAACCTGTTGGGAGAGCAAAATGTTTAAAAGTTATTATTCGATTGCAAAAATCCTCTACCGTTCTCTCGACGTCCATTCAGCCCTCCGATGAACTATTCGTATATATCACAGCGGCGCCATTGTCCGCGACTGTCACCGGCAGAGATATAAAACTAGAACGGTACGGTCACGTGACACTGGAACGCTCGCTGCGATAGCTCCGTATATAGGCTGTGGCTATTGTTTCACGGCTCTCCAACGCGCTTTCACGTTCTTTATAGTTCGCACTCTTAATTACTGTTTGTGCTTTTTAATCGTTATCATAATCTTGACCTGCACCGTTTGTGTTTTAATGTATACAGGCTATACAGCGAAGAACAAAGTCAAAGACAAAGTCAAAATTTCTTTATTCAATACTAGCTTTTCGCCCGCGGCTTCGCTCGCGTTGAAGCCCTTAAATAAACATCTTTCCCGTTTAAGAAACCTTTATAACCCGCTTTCCAATTAAAAAATAGCCTATGTCCTTTCTCAGGCTCTAGACTATCTGTGTACCAAATTTCATTTAAATCGGTTTTGAAGTGAAGGCGAGACAGACAGAGCTACTTTCGCATTTATAATATTAGTATGGATAGGTTTAATTTAAGCTCATCTAAACTAGTCCTGACCATAAAAGAACTTGCAAGGAGCTCTTCGATAATAATGCTCTCTTTTAACAAGTTAACCCTTTTTTTATGTTACAAGTATACAAATTTTTATTAAGTATCAAATCAGCAGCAGCCAGGGGAAATGCTAGTGCAGAGGAAGAGTCATTAGTGAAATTCGTTGAGTGTATTTACTTGAAAGACGTTCCAGCTATTCAAAATCCGTCCTTCAAGTATTTAGTATTTATGTTTGACAGAATAAAACGTTGAAAAACCATTATAATTATCATCCTCCTGTCCTCATTCCACCTAGGTGGGGTCCGCATAACTTGATAATCATGCTGTAAGCTGTTTTGGCTATATTTTTACGGTGGTAGGGCCACGCAGCAGCCTCGGCTGTTGCACGATTGGGCAAGCTCGTCCGGGTAAGTACCTCACAGAAGACCGGCGTAAAGTGGAAGTATAATACTTTCGCGTTTCGTCTGGTGAGTGATCTGGTGGTCACTTAACATCAGGTGAACCATCTGCTCGCTTGGCAACTTTTCACATTAAAAAAAAAATTACGACCGGCCGCCTACCTGACGTCAACCCTCCTTAGGAAACAACAATTTGGTTCGAAATTGTAATATCATTGGTGATTTATTTTATTAAATAATTGTTATGTCAATCCAATCAAATGCAATATGTCAAGTTTTAATTTTGATTTTTTTATTGTTTAATAAAACAGTTATTGGAGGAACGTTTAACGTTTTATTATAAATATTACATTATTATACAAATCTGACCTTACTCTCTCTTCGATTAACAGTCTCTCTCCAGGGACGAGTGACAAACAACCATAGATTAATCTAGAACACACTGCTAGTGATGTTAGCTATTCAGTCTATGATACATCTCCCTTTTATCACAATGAAACAGAAACTAATAAAAATATTACAAAATCTGTTTAAGACTAGTTGAATACAAAACAATTGACAAACTCTACTTTACTAAAATTTTAAATATGAGTATTAATTTTAAACAAGATACTAAATCGCTACTAGAAATTCTTTTGCTGAGAGCTTACTATAACATCAAACTTTAAATTATTAAATTAACTTTATATTGAAACACAGTTTTCTTTCTCCTTTCATAATCCTACCGGCTGCGCCATGTATTGTTTAATAAAACAGTTATTGGAGGAACGTTTAACGTTTTATTTAAAATATTATATTATTATACAAATCTGACCTTACTCTCTCTTCGATTAACAGTCTCTCTCCAGGGACGAGTGACAAACAACCATAGATTAATCTAGAACACACTGCTAGTGATGTTAGCTATTCAGTCTATGATACAATTTTATTTTGCCAACCCCTATTGAAGAATTAATATTGAATACCTTTTTTCTTTACGCATTAATTATTTTATTTTGATGTATTATCTTATTATGACGATTCACCTGCCGTTGTTAAAAAATAAGTAATTAATATAAAAATGAAGGCTTATGATATTCAATAGTCTTACAAAGCTATAAATAAAATTATTTGTAGAAACGTTTCATGTTTCTCATGGATTATAAATCAATCGGAAAATCAAATCCTCATCCTTTTAGGAGCATTATCGTCAAATCTCAGTAGGTAATCAAATAGAAAGGTTATCAGAAAAAATTTCAATTCCTTCATTTTTTCCCTAATTCAAATAATCATAAATTAAAATGCGTTGCCAGTATCTCCAGTAACGATTAAATTAAGCGCTTTCTGGTAATAACAAACGATTTAAATGGAATTATTTAAACGGTAATTCTAAATTAAATTTGAATCAAAAAATGTGTTTGTTATAAACAATTAAGTATAACTACGCTCGAATCGAAATAAGCAGTTATTTTATGGATTAACTTCTACAAGAGATTAAGAATAATAGAAATGTATTTTTGGTACTTGATACTTTCTTCCTCTATTAAGTGACTTGATACCTTTTTCTTCTCCTTTTCTTTTTTTTTGTATACATATTTGACGACAGTTTAAAAATTTCTATTGACTATCACTGTGTATAGTGATCAATTTATCACCTTAATAATTTAAAAAAAAAAACAAAGTCAAAAGTATCCAGAATTCGTTAAGATTGTACGCTAATACTAATGGTATCAAACCAATATAAATATTTAAGGCTAAAATAACATTATTAAATTAAAACATGTAGAAAAAGTACGAAAAGATTGTCGCCGCTGTGGGAATCGAACCCACGTCTTCGGCATTCGCGGCCTGACGCTCTAGCCACTGAGCTAAACGTCAAAAATCTTAACGCCTTTTTTCTACATTGTTATTTAGCATTTGAAGCAATGCTTGGCGCATCTATTGTTATATCCTTTCCAGCATACAAACAACTTCGAATATCGTTTTACAACGATAATTCGAACGAGAGATGTCGCCATTGCTTTTTATAAATTTTAAAGTTTTTTATAGTGCTAATCTCTGCACTTAAGATTAAACATTAAAACATGTAGAAAAAGTACGAAAAAGTACTGAAAATATTCGACAATCTTTTCGTACTTTTTCTACATGTTTTAATGTTTAATCTTAAGTGCAGAGATTAGCACTATAAAAAACTTTAAAATTTAACATTGTTAAATTCTTTTCTTCCTCATTCTACTTAAAACTTGACTCTGGTTGGATTCGTTATAATTCCTCACTTTGTCCACAGCGCCTCCGAACGCAGTGGAGATCATAAATCATCCGCCCAACTCCAAACTGGAGGTAAAGGAGAGCGAGGATGTGACGTTGGAGTGCCAGGTGAAGAATGCGAAGCCGGCAGCCAGGATTGTCTGGTACCGGGGCAACGTCGAGATAAGGGGAGACAGAGGTCAGTATAATTTGGATTTAATTTCTAATCAACGTTATAAGTAATCAAGGGTAGCTAGCATACAGTCTTCTAAGAGTGTAATAGTTTAATTTTGACGAAGTTTTGCAAAGATTCCTCAAAATCAAACTGTTCTTATATATTTTACAGCCATAGCCGCTTTATGTAGAAGATATTTCTTGAACAATCACCACTGTTAATTTTACAAATATTAATGTAGGTTTATTTGTTACGCGTACACACCAAAACTACTCAACCGATTATCATAAAACTATGTACATATTCTGTGAGGTAGTAAAAATGACATAAGATTCTTTTTTTATAAAAGAAATGAATATTTATTAAAGGGCTTTAACGCGAGCAAAGCTGCGTGCGAAAAGGTTGTGTTAAATTATTGATTGCAGTAAATATAATTATATTATATGGTACAATAAGTATTCAGATACCAATAATGTCGTAAACACACTGAGGCAGCTAAAACTTAAAACATTACTATCCGTTTTTTGTACTTTGTCATTCACAAATATTTAATATTATATACGATTAATAAAAACTTCAATGTTCGTAAAATATTTTTATTGCATGGATTTCCTTTTCAGTTTTCATATATTCATATTATTTTCATTCTATTATTACTGCTAATCAATATAAGATAGTACCTGCCTTGTTTGAAGTATAGGTACTGCACCATACTGCAGCATTGATGTAAGCTCGGTAACATGAAATTTTGCAGGTGCTTTGATTTGGCTCGCATTAAAATTCCCATCGCGATCTATTCCAGGGCAATTCCGCTTCTCTAAATTTCGGTACCAATTATGATTTTCGGTCCTATCTAGTTTCAGTGCAATCCAGCGATCAGTGCTGGCGTCTCTCCAATTTTAATCTCGATTGTACCTATGTTGTGCTTCTTTATTTTTTTAAACCCCATCGGAAACTGTTGCGCAATGCGCGATAAAGTGATGATACAACAATATATATTTTTTTAATTGACGGAAAATTAAGCAGTTGGCAAGCGGTAGCAGTTAAAATTTAACTATCCCAGTTTTTATTCTTGCTCATCAATAGTATAGTTTAGTGAGTGACAAACAAATTGGCAGAATAAAGAAGAACCCTTTTCCGGTTTCCCCAAGAGTTGGACTATGTTGATGATGATTTCTTTCTATTTATGCCGTTATCAAAAGATCGAACACCACCGCTTACAAATAGAAACTGAATATATTTTTTATTTGAGCGATAGTGGCAAGCGATCTGGCGGTTCACCTGATGTTAACCGCCACCAATTGACATTAGCAACACCCGTAGGGTTGCAGATGCGTTGCCAACTTTTAATAAAGTGGGCCCCGGCTACCTCACTCACCAGACAAAACGCGGAAGTACAGCACTCCCACTTCACGCCGGTCTTCTGTGAGGTCTTGGTAGTGACCCGGACGGACCTGCCCATTCGTGCAACAGTTGCTATTGCGTGGCCCTACCACAGTTCCGGATATGTTCTCCCTTCAACGTATGAATATGTTAATACGTTACGCATGAAGAGCCTTAACGCAACAACCAATAAAATATCAAAGGGAATAAGTTCCTTAAATAACGAAGTAAGACGTCATAACAACCAATATCGAACTTTGAATGTTGAAATACGACATCGAAACGATTCCGCGACTCATTCAATAGAGCCTAACGAGGCCTAAATCACCGTTCAAAATGCCGTCTGGTAAAACAAAACCCCACTCGAATTCCATGTCTGAAACAGAATAAATAATAGATATTCATCTTCTTACGTCTCGAGGTCTTGATTAGGATACTAACCTAATGAAAGTGTCATGTTATGAATACACTTTACAGCAATATGCGTATCTTTTATTATGGTATGACCGCAAGACGCAAATTTTCGGAAAACAACTAGTTTTCTTAAAATTAGAATTGACATTGAGAACTTAAAGTCTATATAAGTTATGTAATGATCTCTATATCATTAGGAACAAGACTTCATTGTTTTTAAAATGACATAATGGAGATGAAGAGACTAAATATGTGATATTTGGGAACAATACCTTATTGTTTTCAATATAATGTAATAGCTACTACTAACTAAAGAACTTATCCATTGAAGTAAGATTCCAGTTTTATAATTGTACCACGATTAGGCCAACATTAAGTCCTAGATAAGAGCCTAGTTATTATCTTAATGGTCTACTTTACCCGGCAGTGGTATGTAAATGCACGTTCACTTAACTGACTTAAACTCTCCAGGCTATCTATCGAGGGTAAGCGGTTTTCAACAAATACACTGTGGTAGGGCCATGCAGCAGCCTCGGCTGTTGCACGAATGGGGAGGCCCGTCCGGGTAATTACCACGACCTCACAGAAGACCAGCGTAAAGTGGTAGTATGACAAATACTTTCGTGTTTCGTCTGGTGAGTGAGGTAGCGGGAGCCCAATTTTCAAAAGGTTGTCAACGCATCTGTAACCCTCGGTTGTAGTAGATATCCATGGGCGGCGGTATTCAGTTACCATCAGGTGAACCGTCTGCTCGTTTGGCAACTTTTCACATTAAAAAAAAAAGAAATTGTTCAAGATTTCATTGACTCATCCGGCTGCAGGAGTTCCAGTAAAAAAAAAACACTTCTGTAACAAACTGGTTTTCCTATAAATTATTCGTGGTAACAGCATTCTGATTCAAACTGTACCAATTACCGGTATATATTCTTCCCGATTTTGAACTATATGCCTGCTGCAAAACCGATAATTTATTCATTAAACTGTATTTCAATACCGATAATTGGGCACCACGTCTCTAATTGGCATCGCGTCGAATCAAACGGCTGTCTCTACGCGCGCAGTCATTAATTAGTGGAGTTTTTGATTTCAATTAGCAAACAATTGACATGTTTTACTAACGATGCATACATATCCGTACAGAGCTCAGCGTCGATGCGACTAGTATCTTTGCGGTTTTACAACTATGACTCGCGATTTCAAATTAAAGTAAAAAAAAAGTATCAGCCTATACATGCCCCATTGCTGGGAAAAGGCCTCATCTGTACAGAGGTTATCAGGGCATAGTCCACCCCGCGGCCCCACTGCGGATTGGTGGACTTCACATATCTTCGCAATATTTTTATTTTTATTATTATTTCGAAAATATGCAGGTTTCCTCACGATGTTTCCCTTCACCGCTGAGCGCGTGATAATTCAGCACTTGAAATTAACAATTTCATTGGTCCTGGCACCGGGTATCGAACTCAGGTTGCTCGAGTATATTGAATTAAAGGCGAGCGCCCGGACACTGAGCTATCACGGCTTGATTTCAGATTCTTGCTAATGAATTAAATGTGTTTTTAATCCATAATCTGGTGAAAAGCTTCACTAGCGTCAGCCCGTATCAGCCCACTGCTGGGCAAAGGCCCCCTCCCTTTTGCGGCATCCCTGTCCTGAGCGGATCGCATCCACGTTTTTCCTGCAATCTTTATGATTTCATCGACCCATCGGGCTGGTGCTCTGCAGACGCTACCTTCCTTCTAGAGGCTTTACTCCACCTGCTATCAACATTGTCTAGCAATGTGCCCTGCCATTCATTATTAAATGCCAATCGAAGTATATCATTGCTTTGTTGTTGAGTAAGACCATAACGATAGTCATAATAAATCATGGATCGAAAATTTTCTTGCGTTATGTTAATTTTGAAAATTAAAAATACTTTTGCATTTGCCGCCAATTCACAAAAACAAATGACAAATGATAGCACTATATCACATAAGTAAGCAAAGAGTTCCATATTCAAAGTTTAAAAGAAGTTTTCATCGGCTACGTTTCTGACTGGCCAGTTGTAAAAACTCAATGTAACCGTGTGTTTTTTAGTTTATAACGATTACGTTTAAGAAGTCGTTATTATTTATTTCGTCGAAACGAGTTGCGATTTATTTCCGACTCATTGCGAGCAAAGTGCTTCGGATTTCTCCCGGGGCTCGCGTTCGCAAGTCGAGACACGCGAGGGAAACTGCGATGTGTATGCAGCACGGCAGGCGGAATGAAACACGCTGGAAACGGAATTAGCCACTTGCGTTTGAAACACGAGACGCGTTGACGAAACATTGAATGCAGAAGAAAATAGAACGTGAATAAGTAATGTTTAGTAAACTTTTACATAGAACATTTTCTTTTCACAATTTTTTTTACGTACAAGTTAAACTTCATTGACAAATAAAAAGAAACAAAAAAATTACTCCAATTTTTTTTTATAGCGCGTGCCAATATTAAGCAATACCATTTATAGGAACTATGATAAAATAATGAAATCATTATGTTAAATGTAACTCATAATGCTTAGTTAAAAAGTTTAATCTAATTTAAAAAATGTGTATTTATAAAACGTTCAATAAAGTTAGTAATAATTAAATACATAATAAAATAAGTATATTTATCGCTTCACACTATACTAAAGTTAGATTTATTAACAGTTTTCATATTGTTAATTTCATATCTGTGTGCGCGCGGTTCGTAAAATTCCACTTCAAATTATTATATATTATTTGTTCCAAAGGAGTATTACTATAATGCACTGTTTTATTTAGTTTAAAAAACAAGACATAAAGAAACAGAGATAATCATTTATAGTTTATATTTCTTATATACAAATTCTTTATGAGACTGAGTTAACATACGTCATGTTTCATGCACCTTTCTTCAAGAGTCAAGTACATTTCAGTGATAAGATTACTGAAGTGTACTTGAATCCGCCTATAAAACAAAGATCACAGTTTTCTGTTTTAATTTACAATCACCATAATAAGAGAAATGGGAACCGTGATAGTCTGGACGCTCGCTTTGAATTCAAAAATACTCGAACAACCCAAGTTAAAACCCTGGTGCCAGCACCAATGAAATTGTTTATTTTGACCGCTGACTTATCACGTGTTCAGCTGTGAAGAAAGCATCAAAGAAACCTTCATGTTTTTTAAATAACATGAAAAAAAGTATTCAAAGATATGTGAGGTCCGCCAATCCGC